TGTGAGGAATTTGACTAGAGTTCATTAAGATAAGAGTTAGGTTTGTGTATTTGGATTTAACTAAATAGGCTATATTGAAGTTTGTTGCAATTAATAAAAAAATCGCTTATATTTAACAAACTATACTTTTATTTAAAATACATATCATGATGATAAAAGTATAGTTTAATTAAAGCTACAAGTATGATATAATGAAATTAAATAGTAAATTAACTATCTACAATTATGTGTCTAAAGCGTCAAGTGGGGGCAAATATTAAGCTAAATCTCAGTCAAAATTTTTATACATATAATGGTCATATTGAAATATTCACTAGTACAAAACAAGACAACCTAAACGGTTGGAACCGTTTGGGAAAACACACTCTCAAATGATTACAACCGTTTGGGCTAAAAAAAAGCCCGTTTGGGTTGAAGCCGTTGGGGAATAGTTTCCCCAACGGTCACCCAAACGACTACAATCGTTTGGACAAATTCCAAACGGTTATAACCGTTTGGACAAAGTAATATTGTCCAAAAGGTTACAACTGTTTGGACAGAAATTTGGCCAAACGGTTGTAACCGTTTGGGCTAATTTCCGCCTAAACGGTTACTATCGTTTGGTTAGATTTCTGTTCAAACGGTTACAACCATTTGGACTGTGTATTTTAATATTTTTTTAATTTGCCTACTTTACTTATTTACATGTTTACATTTAATATACACATCTCACACAATGGTTATTCAATATCTCACAATGAAATCAAAAATATATACATACACATTTAAACTTAATATACACATCTCACACAATGATTATTCAATATCTCACAATGAAATCAAAAATATATACATAAACAAAAATATCTCAAATGGTGTTGAATATCTAATTCAAATAGATAATATAATATTAAAGATAAAACATATACATACACAATGATTACTCAATATCTCACAATAAAAAGCATCCAATATTATATATTTGTCTCTAATATCCATTCAAATAACAAAAAAAGGATAATATAGAAATGCGAGAGCCATGCTTCTCATATATCTTGAGATCAAGCGAAATAAAGGCCTATTTATAGCAGTAGGCTTCATTCGTTCTTTAAGTTGCTCACAAGCATCTAGAACTGCTACATCGTACATATCAGAGCTCGCTGAAGCCGCTGTTGATGTTGCATTAGGGACCTAAAATACAATAAGATTTTAGAACCGCATAACAAAATGGGCTAATCATGGGAAATTGAATTTAATACCCTATATTATTATTGTTGCAGATAGACCCCCTTGAGCCTCTAAGAGTTCAATTCTTACAGGTAGATCCCCTGAGTGAAAATCTGTTGTTGAAGATAAATTCTTTGAAAACAGTCAATATTTTTCACTCAGTGAGTCAACGGATCAATCTGTAGCAATAGAACTACATAAAAAGTAAGTTCAAATTAGCAATAGTACAGTGAGTCTATTTGCAATTAACCCAGAAAAATATGCGTATTTACTTGGGTTTATTATTAATGACAATAAAAAATAAAACCAACCTTATATGTACTTGTGTCTGATATGAACACAGAACTAAGGGGAATATTGAAGGATGAGGCTGTAATCTGTGCAATCTGAGGCTGTGATTTTTGGTATTAAATTCATTTACAGAATCAAGAGCTTTTGAAAAATCACAGGATGTCTTTAATTCATCCCAAACCTGATCCTGTAGTTGCTGGCCATGGTAGTCACATATCCTTCTGTGTGAAAATTTATTTCCTGGTAAAAGGAACATTATAGTCATTATAATAACACCAAAGTATGATCAAGTTTTCCGCTAAAATAAAATTTTACCTTTATTTCCTCAAGTATTTTCTGAAGCTCAGAAGCAATCCTTTCAATCCAATTTTCAGAAATAAACATACTTTAAGGGGCACCAAATCCCCTAAAAGCAGTATTACTAGAAGTATTAGTATAGCAAACTTGCCATTTTATCCTCATGTGTGGTATATCATATACATTTTCTGGATAGAACATCGCACAGTCAAGGACTTCAAGAGACAAGTCTTTGTATTTCCGCCATTATTATAGATCTAAAGATCTAAAGCCATAATCTTTCCCTCATTTGTGAACCCAACCTACAAAAATTGGCTTTTGATTAAGAGACAAAGAGCGAACTAATGTGACAAATTGAAAACTCCACCACTTGTGAACTTTAATCAGGTGATGATGAATAAAAGCATAGCTAAGTTTCATTTGTTTGATCATCAACAAGACGACACAATAATTTCTATTGATCAGTCTACTTTAACAACAAGATGACATAGTTTAATCAAGCAATTTAAAACTTACAAATAGCTATCAAATATATAATGTGAAACACTTAGATGTGTGTTTCGAAGGAAAAAAGAGATTAATATTACCATCCCAATGTTATATTATATATATCATAAGAAATTTTTAAGAAAATCACATAAAATTTTGTACCTTAGAACATTTTCCCATTAATTTCAACCTCATATGATTCCATAACCTCTTGGATTGCAGCACTAACATCACAGAGTCGCACATCTATTCCATATTCCCGTGTATACACTAATAAGAAATTAATAAAAAGAAATAGCTGGAATATAATATCTTCATAATGAGTCATTATATTATCTTTTTCTTATGAAGCTTCAATAACTTTTGACAAACATATTAATGTGGATAAGTGAACAGAGCCTAGCGTTGAGTGTAAACATGCTTCAGTTTTGTGTCCCCTTCACAAGAGTAACAATTCAAGATGTATCAACACATCAAGACACACCACGGTGTTGTATTTCCCATCCAAGCTCTCCAAATCCTTCACCTCGAATCTCGAGGGCGAGGGGGATAGTATCGCTGGTTTCTTTCTTTTATCTCGATGAAAGGGCCTCGGTTAGAACTCAAAAAACAAATTCTAGAAATTACTCAACCAAGCTCAACCGAGCTCTCACTCTCTCAATAAATTCATTTGCATAATTCCCTTTAGGTTCTTCAATTTTATTGGGATCCATTGACCAGAGACCTACATTTTTCGCTGCAAATTTAGGTGCTAATCTATCACGAGCATTTCCCATTATTAGTCGATATGCTATCATAGAAAACCTGTTCAAGGACAGCCACAGGCACATGATTAAATCAAAAATGCTGGCAGACCTATCTTCTATTTCTTAATTTGTTTACCCTTTATCCAGTCAAAGTCTTCAAATCTCTGTGACAACAAGAAAACAAATGCGAAAAAGCTTACCAGCAAGAATGAAATAAGGCCGACGCTTATAGCCAAACACAAACGAAGTCGCCAACAAGGGGCCCGACATCCTTGAGCATCTCTAGGGTTTTATCGACGGTTTTGGAGTGGCCGAGGCGGATGTCAAGCTGGACCTTATTGACGCCATCAGTGGATTCGCCGTAGAACTTGCGCCAGTGCTGGAAACCGGTGTTGTTGAAGTAGTTGCAGACGACCTCTTTGTCGTCGAGGCCACCGAGGGCTTCGGATTGTTGCTAGTGTCAGCGGTCGGAGTCGGAGAGGGATTTGAGAGGATGGAGACGATGATTATGATGAAGACGAGAGACAGATTCTTGGTAGATTGGGACGAGAGATTTGAGAGATTGGGGTTAGGGCGCGGGGATTTTAGAGTTTGGGGGAACTTTTTAGGGGGAAGGGGAAATTTTTGGGGGGAAGCCAGTTTAGTAGGAAGAGAACGGAGAAACAAATATATTTTATTTAAAAAAAAATAACAAAATCACCCAAACGGTTGTACCTGTTTGGTGATTGCGTTTGGGATCTCCTAACAGCCCAAACAGTTTCAACCGTTTGGGTTTTGTTATCCCAAACGGTTTCAACCGTTTGGGCTATTTTCACTTGTCCAAACGGTTCTAATAACCGTTTGGACTGTTCTGTTTTGTACTAGTGAAAAAGAAACTTCGAGTGTGGGGTATTTGCCCACACTCAGGTGTACGTGGCTTCACCGTTGAGGTCAAGTAATACCAAACTGACCCTAATAATTTACACAAGGCTTGATCGAGTTGTTAATGATTTTGTTCTGAACCCGAAAATGGTTGCAACGTGACTTCGGTTGTCATCAGTCCTCAAGTTTGTTGCAAGAAGATTTTCTTTGATAAATTGTCCATTAATTTATATGGTAGCAAAGGTGTAACACATATTCAAAGATTAGACAGATTGAAGAGACACGACATGGTTTTAGGGAAAACAAAGCAAATTATATGAGGAAATTAACATTAACTGTGTATTTGAGTGAAAATGCAACAAAACATTTAAAAACCAGTTCGTCTTGTTAGACTATATATAAGAACAATTCCCCTACCCTTAGCACAACTTTAAGGAAAATGGGTGATAGAACAGAAAATTAAGCATTGCTTTCTTCTTTTAAAGAACGGTGATAAGATTTTATTGTTCAAACAATTTGTACAAAATACTCCCGGGCATATCCAGGTTAAACAACAAGTCACCCCATATATACTTGGGAAAATTTGCAAAATAGACCGTTTTTATAAAGTAATTAGCGAAATAGACCGTTTTTAAAAGTAATTCGTTTTTATAAAGTAATTAGCGAAATAGACCGTTTTTAAAAGTAATTAGCAAAATAGACCGTTTTTTGGCAAAAGAGGTCGATATAGACCGTTTTTAAAAGTAATTAGCAAAATAGACCGTTTTTTGGCAAAAGAGGTCGATTTTGAAAAAGAGTTCAGAAAACATACGGGACTACTAGTCCCATATGTTTTGTTAACAAACAGAAAATATACGGGACTAGTAGTCCCGTATATTTTCTGAATGAGATTAAACATACGGGACTAGTAGTCCCGTATGTTTTCTGAACCCTTTTTCAAAATCGACCTCTTTTATGTTTTCTGAACCCTTTTTCAAAATCGACCTCTTTTGCCAAAAAACGGTCTATTTTGCTAATTACTTTTAAAAACGGTCTATTTTCAAAATCGACCTCTTTTGCCAAAAAACGGTCTATTTTGCTAATTACTTTTAAAAACGGTCTATTTCGTTAATTACTTTATAAAAACGGTCTATTTTGCAAATTTTCCCTATATACTTTCATTTCTACCCTCCTAGTTTATGTTGAACATCAGTTAAACAACCGTTAACAACAACGAGGAGGATGTGCTTCCGACCTATGCATTCTCTAGAATTCCTCTCCTGCCATTTCCTATACGTTGCGGCCAATAGTGGACATTCTTCTGGAACAACTTGTACGTAGCTTGTATCCTCTCACCGTCCTCTGAAACCATCTAACAAACAAAGACCAGCTCTTGATAGGAGTTCTCAGCTTCTATTTCCTTCAAAATAGCTAATAACATCGATCTCTTAAGAATATATGCATGTCGAAAGAACACATGTCCGCTAGTTTCTTCCCTAGAATCACACAACATGTACAGGTTGCACATCATTCAGAATGCTAACCTTCCTCATCTAGTCCTTAGTTTCAAACAATTAACCTCATCTTGTCATAGGAAACAGACATATAGCACTTCATTCATGATTTTAATGTATTAACAATATACATAGTGAGGCTGAGTAAGTGACATATATCAACGTAATACGAGTTACAAGGGTTTACTCTATGCGTACATATAATGCACACGTACGCACTTGAGCTGAGTATTAATTAAAAGCAAATTACATTTATAAACTAGAAGAATATTCTTCAGCTGGCCGGTTCCGTGTGTGTGTATTTAATTGGTAGGTAAAAATAGAGCTATGGAATACAATGTGGCCCATCGCGCATCGGCTGTTCTATGGGCTAGGTAGTGTGTTGCTCGCAACTGTCGGTTTGTGGGCTCCAAACAAAAAGAGCTGGTCGCTCCGTGACGTTCGATACTTATTCTTCCCCGGCCCGCCTGTCTCCGCTGGTTTGAATTGAACAATCAGATATAAAAACTCAATTATGAAGGGTTTGGTGAGGGATTCAGATTAATAAGATACTCGTGAAAACTTGTATTCTTTTGTCTCTAATCATCACAATCGATTAATTAACTGCTTCTTAAGAAAAATTCCCCAAAGACCCAAAATATGGGACCAACAGGGGGGACATGTGAGGTGTGCCCCGCCTATTGCATAATGAGTTGGCCATCATTAATGATGATCAACTCATTATGCAATAGGAGGGGGACACCTCATCCGCCCCTCCTGTTGATCACATATTTTGGTCCCTGTAGCAGGGGCGGAGGGAAGGGGGTATAGGGTATTCCTTGGAATACCCTAACATTAGAAACAATTGCCCATATGGTATAAGCCAAGGATTGAAAAATCTCAGCGGTAGCGTGGGAGTGGGTTTGAATCCTGCAGGGAATTTTTTTCATGTTTTAATTTTTACATTTTATTTTTATTTTTTAACCCAATTTATACCCAACCTTTTTTACCCGACCCGACCACTTTACCATTTCACGGTTTCACCTTATCTCACAAAACCTGAGACCACCAAACACCAAACCCTAAGACCCTTCACCTTCAACTTCAAGAATCCGACCAGGCACGCCGCACGTCCGCCTCCTCACTCCTCAGTCCTGGCGCCCAGCCTGAGCCACGTCCGCGCCCGCCTTAAGGAGTTCAGGTCTAGTCTCTTGACTCTCTTCCCCTTCTTTAATTCATTGTTTGTGAAATTTAATTGAAGTGTTTTTTTGGTGTGAAATTGATTGTAGGTGATTTGTTTAGGAATTATGATTGGATTGATAACTGATTTCTATAAGATTGAATTGATTACTTTATAAACTGAATTCGTTTTTTTGTTTGTTTGTGAAACCAATTTAGTTTAGGTAATTGATATGTCAATTTAGTGGTATTTCAATTTTAATTCAATGGTTTGTTGCTACAATGTTAAAACGAGTCCATCAATTGTTTAAATGTTTCTGTTTGAATTTTTTAGAGTGATTTTAAATTAATAAGTCATTGTATTTTTTATATAATAGGATGCTTAATTACTTCCAACGAAAACCGAGATTTTCGGAGAAGCCAAATGTTTCTATCATTGGTGATCAACCTTCTTCACTTCCCTCCTCAAGTGACACTCAACCCGAACCGATTTGCACAAATAAAGTGTTTAATAAGGGAGCATATTTGGAGTCGGATCCTGCAAAAAGAGATCAAATTCTTGATTATCATCCAAATGATCAAGAAGAGGTAAGAAGAGCTTACCTTGTAAAGGGCCCATGTCGACCAAACTTAAAGGAATATCCTACCACAAATTTGGGGGGAAGGGATCGTTCTTTTCATAATAGTTGGTATGAAGAGTATGATTGGTTGGAATATAGTATAGAGAGAGATGCTGTATTTTGTTTGCCTTGTTATGTATGCTACAAAGGTTCTAGTAATCCAGCATTTGTGAAAGAAGGTTTTAAAGGTTGGAATCTCAAGCACAAGTTAAATAAACATGTTGGTGACAAACCCAATAGTCATCATAAAAAGTGTGTGAAAGCATGTGAGGATCTTATGAAGAAAAATCAGTGTATCGAGTATTCGTATGCAAAATATAGTACAAAAGAAGAAGCCGATTATCTTGTTCGTTTAAAAGCATCACTTGAAGCTGTCAAGTTTCTTGTTAGAGGTGGATTGGCATTTAGGGGACATAATGAGGGGGAAGGTTCTTTTTATAAGGGTCATTTTCTAGAATTTATTGAAGCATTGGGGAGAAATAGTGAAAAAATAGCGGGAGCAATAACAAGTGGTGGAGGAAATAGTAAAATGACTTCTCCTCAAATTCAAAAGGAACTTGCAAATGCATGTGCGGTTGAAACTATTAAGAAAATAGTTGGAGAAATTGAAGATGGTTTCTTTTGTGTTCTTGTTGATGAATCGGGAGATTGCTCGGGTAAAGAACAAATGGCGGTTGTGGTGCGGTTTGTTGATTATAGAGGTTTTGTAGTTGAAAGATTTATTGGCATTGTTCATGTTGAGGATACAAGTGCTATAGCCCTTAAAGGGGCTCTTGAAACATTGTTGTTGGGGTTTGGCTTGTGTATATCTAGAATTCGAGGTCAAGGGTATGATGGAGCAAGTAACATGAGAGGCCAATTTGGAGGTTTGAAAGCTCTAATTCAAAATGAAAATCCGCAAGCCTATTATGTCCATTGTTTTGCTCATCAACTTCAATTGGCTCTTATTTCAATGGCGAGAAAGAATGAAGATGTTGATTGGTTTTTTTGTGAAGTGACTCGTATTGTTAACTTTCTACGGTCATCAAACAAAAGACAAGCTTTGCTTCGTAAGAAACAAGTTGCTCATTTTGCAAATTTAATTGAAAATGAATTGGTGGAAAGTGGTACGGGTTTGAATCAAGAATTGTCTATTGCAAGAGCGGGTGATACACGTTGGGGATCCCATTTTCGGACTCTTAGTAGGTTGGTTGATTTGTTTACTCCCATTATTGAAGTGTTTGAAGATTTGAAAAGTGACCGGGCTTCAAAGGGTGAACCTCAAAGTTTGTTAATTGTCATGCAAACTTTTGGTTTTATCTTTATGTTGCACTTAATGGTGGAGGTTTTATCTTTGACAAATGATTTGTCCGAAGCATTACAAAAGGGGGATCAAGATATTGTGAATGCCATGGAACTTGTTGAAGTTAGTAAGAAAAAGTTTCAAAAAATGAGAGATAGTGGTTGGGAAGCATTTTATGAACAAGTTGTGGCTTCTTGTGGTAATGTTGAAATTGATGTCCCCGATATGAAGTCACGGTATGTCAAAGCTAATAAATCCAAACGACTTGCTCCTTTTGTGACAAATTTTGATTATTTCAAGAATGATTGTTTCTTACATGTCATTGATTTTGTATTGAAAGAGTTGAATGATCGTTTTACGCCTGAGAATACCGAGTTGTTGAATTGTGTTGCTTCTTTGAGTCCTTGTTCATCATTTGAAGCCTTTGACACTAAATCACTTGTAAGGTTGGCAAGATTGTACCCAAATGACTTTGAAGATGTTACCGATAAAGAGTTGTCTAGCCAATTTGAGACTTACATTGAGTGTGTAAAGATGGATGATAATTTTTCCAATTTGAAAGGTATCTCGGATCTTTGTAGGACTCTTGTCCGAACGAAAAAGCACAAGACGTTTAGATTTGTTTACATACTAGTGAAGCTAGCTTTGACATTACCGGTTGCAACCGCAAGTGTTGAGAGGGTATTTTCCGGGATGAAATATGTGAAGAATGAGTTGAGAAATCGAATGGCTAATCCATGGTTGAATGATTGTTTAGTGACATTTGTGGAAAAGGAAGTGTTTAGTACGATCAATGATCGAGATATCATCAAGCGCTTTCAAGGCATGAGCAAGAGGAGAATGCATTTACGATTGGACTAGATATAAAGTTCTATTTTGAGTTGTATATGAAACAATGATATATTTTTCATGTAATATTTGAATATTTATATTTATTGCTTTTTCTTTATATGTTTTACAATTAATGGGAATACCCTGGATTTTACTCCTGGCTCCGCCCCTGCCCTGTAGCAGAACTCGCTTCTTAAAGTTCCTCTCCTCGCCGCTTTTAATTGACCAGGACCTTCGCTTGGATTTCTCCGTTTGCCACTCTTTATTGTTCCTACTCGTTCTTGGGAAGGGGAAAAAACTCCTTCCTCTTTTTTCTATTTTTTATTTTTATTTTTTGTTTTATTATTTATTTATTTATTTATTTTTTAAAATGGGAATCGAACTCAAGGCGTTGGGAGTCATATTAAAACCTTCCAAACATCCTAGATCACCCACAGCTCCTTGATTCTTCATATTCTTAGGTAAGGTGTATACATACATAAGTGTGTACGTGTCAATAAATTGCAGCTTGGAAGCAAAAGAAGAGAAAGTAAATGGGCATCTGACATCACTACTCGAAGAATACTCAACGTAGCAAGTAGTTGGCGCTTGTGTTGCCACAATCGGCGGTCTGACATCACTACTCGAAGAATACTCAACGTAGCAAGTAGTTGGCGCTTGTGTTGCCACAAATCGGCGGTAGAGTTTGGTATGGCAGCGTGTTGTTATTATGCAGTCATGTGCAGGTATCTTCATACATTTCATTGACCGGTCCTTTTCAGGTTTAGGTAGATCTAGACTCGCCCTTCTTCATTAAGCCAAGGCAGCAGCGTTTGTAAATAAAGGTAATTTTGCACTGTCATGTTTTTTATGTTTTTTATTTTATTAAATGAACACCCCCCCACCCCCACGCCCCTCCAGTCTGCAAGTCACCCGAAGAAAGACCAAGCACACTCTTCCAACAGATGATCTTGTCTCATTATAGTATCATGACTTTCTTTCCATAGTGAAATCCAATCCAATTGTGAGTTTGGATCCTTATGTTTGCAATGGAATAGGAGTTACTTGAATTAAAATGTTGATGTACAGTAATGATTTCGTAATCGATATGAGTTTACAAAGCACCAATACTACTTTAATGTAACTAAATGGAGAAACCCTGAATTCTT